TGAGCTTGTAGATATATTCCCAACTTTCACAAAAGAAAAATTTGAAGTTGGGACATTTGTGGTGTTATTTAATGGTAATGTCAGTTTGGGCATATTATTTGGTAAAATTCCTTAAAGAAATAAATATTAAATATTATTAAAGTGGTCTATTACTAAAAGGATTTAATGGCCTAATATTATTTCCATGTGGTAGTACTAAAATAAAATAATTAGGTATATATAATAAAAGTTATTTAGAAGAACTGTGGAGTACATTGTTCGTTTTTGCAGAAGTATCCTCTGGTAATATCTTTTTTTGTAATTGATTTGTATTTAATAGAGGCCCTACAAGAAAAACATCAGATAATAATATAATTAAGTAATTTCATTACTAAAAGAATCTTTTTGTCTATCATAATTACACAAATGGATAACTATATTCTTATCTGATGAGCCAGCAGTGTGCTTTTTAGGATTAGCACATCCTAAAAATAATATATATATAAAGTTTAACAATATATAATAACCTATAAATGTTTGCATTGATGAATGTAAACTGGTAGAATCTTGAAAATATATTATGCAATTAGTATAAAATTTATAAAAAAATACTGTGTTTTCAGAAAGAGTTTGTAAGGGTTTACTATTTGTGAAAATTTTTATTGATGAGGGAAAACTAGTATCTAAAAAAAATATATTGTAAAGACATAAAAAAATTTTTTGCTTTTCATATAAACAATATTTGCTATTAGCCAAAAAAAAGTGATATAGATGTAACTATAAAATATGTAACCTTTCATATCTATCAAATGCTTAAAGTTGTGATTATTTTCTTTGTCCATTATATTGAAGTGTTTTTCTTTCATCACTTTCACTTTTCACAAATAATATAAATGAATTTAAAGATCAAACCTTTTCTCATATTTTTAGCATCTTTGCGTCTTTTCAAATATCCAGGACTTATTTTTCTGGCATTTCAATATTTTTTATATTATTGAAATTGATTTCTACTTCACTAACTTGTTTCAGTGGATTTTCTGGTTTTTGTTCAACATCTTTTATATATATTTTTTAAAGTTTACAGAATATATTATAATTCATTAAAAAAAATTATTAATAAATTCTAAAAAAAATGATTACCCATGTCATTAAATTTAAATCCTGATGTTGGAAAATATATTGATAGCATGTTCAAATTGTTCAATAATTTTAGGAGTAGGCTATCTTTATAAACATATTTTAAGTATGTATATATTTTGTTAAATGCATTTTGATTCATCTGAGATGATAATGATGATATATTTTGCATAATATCCTTTACTTTTCTGAATTTTTCATCAGATGATAGAATTTTTTTTTCATTGATAGTATGATTAATTCTAGTGCCATCGATATCATTTTGATTAATATTATTAGTAAGTATTTTATTTTTATCAGTCACTCTATAAGCATGTCTATCAGCAAAGTCCTTATCTGCAATTATTACTTTAATTTTATTATTATTATCATTGTACGATTTAAATAAATCACACATATTTTTAACAATTAAATAATTCTCAGATTTGACTATCCAGATAGCAGCAAATCTCGTTTGTTCTTCGCCATCAATAACAAAGAGAGTAAATACTGGCATTTGATAATAATTTAATTTATAAGTTGCATCAACCAGGAGAATCTCTGAAAATGCACTAAAGTAATCCTTCATATTTGGGGTTTGGTAATATACCCATGAAGGGCATTGTTTTCAGAAACTATTTTTATAATATTATTAGGGTTTAAATTTTTTAATAAGTTAAAAACATCCAGGAGCTCAGAGTCCCCTGGTTGATATAATATTTTCTTTTTTATATTATATAAATCTCGATTTGTTGTGTAAACTCCTTTTTGTTGGAGGTCATATTTAATTTTAGGAATTGAGGCATCATATTCTAAACACTTAACAATTAATGATCTTGATTCATCATTTATTTTACGTTGCTTAGGTAAACGCATGAATAAATTATAATCTAAATTAATAAATAAAAATTGTATATTTCTTAAATATATATACCCAAATCATGATTATGCCCACTATTCATTTTGGAAACCTCTAGCCTATGTAGATCCCCTATTATTATGTGCTTTACTGAAAAGCTGTTTGGGAAATTTAGTTGTAAAGTTTGGGTAAGTCGTTTTCCTTTCCCACGACTTTTAATGTGTCTTCCTCCATGTATACAAACATAACGTATATATTTGTATTGTATTGTTTGAATAATGTTTTCATCAAAATTACCAAGCTTGGTACATGTTGCTATATGGTAATTTGTAAACACTAGATTTTCATATTTATCTATAGCTTCTTGCAAATCATTAAATGATTCAAATTGTGCCCCAACCTATGAAATAGAATATAGAATAGATAACCTTATTAAAAAAAATATGCATTGTTACTTCTATTTTTTTTGACTTGTATTCTTCATCTAAATCAAAATTGCTTTGATATTCATCCATAAGAATCTAATATAGGGTAAAAAATATTAATGAGTTGGGTATAAACTAATAATCATTATTATTTGGATTTTTTTGTGCTAATATTTATATCATAATCTTGAATTAATAGAGAGATGGTAAATAAGGGGTAATATATTTAATTTAACCATTCCAAATATCACAAATAGTTTTTATTTGTATGTTCAACTACATACATTTTTGATTAGGGCTTGTATTTAAAGAGAACTAGGGTGGGCCTAACAACTTAAGTAAAAAATTTGAATAGGGTGGGTAGCACAAAGGCAAACATTTAACCTGTCCAGTGTGCCTGTATAAGCATAACTATAAATTTAACAATTATTCTTTTATAATATAAATTGAGTATAAAAATACTTGGCTATCAAGGTACTGTAAAATGAACAGGTACTGTAAAAGGAATAACCTATTTCATTAAATTTTAAATATAAAATTATTATTGTAACTAAGTATATAACAATATACTTTTATAATATAAATTGAGTATAAAAATACTTGGCTATCAAGGTACTGTAAAATGAACAGGTACTGTAAAAGGAATAGGTTCTGTAAAAGGAATAACCTATTTCATTAAATTTTAAATATTGTGTGTATATAAATACGATTACTTTTATAATATAAATTGAATGTCCATATTGAATGTTTAAATAATTGTTTAGTTTTTCAAATAAAATAATTATAAAACGAACATTTATAAACGAGAGCTTTCGTAATTTTACTTATTTATTTACCAAAAAATAAATATATGACGTATTTTGGCGTGCTTGTTAATTTATGAAAAACATGAAAAAAATAGTGCACGCTTAGATTTTTTTTACGGTAAAATATGTATTTATAACATGTAAAATTAAAATTTCACTATTTTTTTCATGTTTTTCATAAATTAACAAGCACGCCAAAATACGTCATATATTTATTTTTATGTAAATAAATAAATAAAATTACGAAAGCTCTCGTTTATAAATGTTCGTTTTATAATTATTTTATTTGAATAACAGAAATAATCAAAATGGATACTCATAAATTTTAAAAGTATATTGTACTTATATAGTTACAATATCATTGATCATACTAGATTCTTATGGATGCGCATCAAAGCAATTTTGATCTTTTTGATTTAGACAATATAACTTCTACAAGTCAAATAAATTTAGAGGTAACAATAAGAATATATTTACTATTGATTTGAAATGTAATTATTTAAAGTTTTAACCTAAAATTTTTATCTATATATATATTCTATAATCTATTTAATAGGTTGGGGCTCAATTTGAATCATTTAATGATTTGCAGGAAGCTATAAATTGATATGAGAATATAGTATATACAAATTACCATATAGCGACATGTACTAAACTTACCAATTTTGATCAAAAAATTATTCATACAATGATTTATAAATACATACGTTATGTCTGCATTCATGGTGGAAGAAAATTTAAAAGTCGTGGAAAAGGAAAACGACTTACCCAAACATTGCAAAAATATTGTTAAAATAGTTTCTCAGTTAAGCACATAATAAAAGAAAAAAGACATATCCTTGAGGTTACAAAAATGAATTCTGGTCATAATCATGATTTGGGTATTATCAAATGTAATACCATTTTATTATTAATTTAGATTCTAATTTATTCAAACGCTTACCGAAGCAGCGTAAAATTACTGAAGAATCAAGAGCTGTCATTATTAAATGTTTAGAATATGATGCCTCAATTCCTAAAATAAAATATGACCTCCAACAAAAAGGAGTTTACACAACAAATCGAGATTTGTACAATATAAAAAAGAAAATATTATATCTACCAGGGGACTCTGAGCTCCTGGATGTTTACAACTTATTAAAAAATTTAAACCCTAATAATATTAGGGAATGACTAAAATACGCGTCCCCGAAAACTACGCGTCCCCGGTCAAAACGACTTATTTTTATTATTATTAATAGGAAATCTTATTAAGCTTATAATATGAGTTAGAAAATGTTTTTTTTAATTTAAAAAAAATATGGTAACTAAATAAAATTTATTTTTTTAAAAAATAAACTACGCGTCCCAAGGCGTCCCCGGTCAAAATACAGTTTTTTAAAAAAAATAAAAACAGATTCATATTTAACTCATTAAAAGAATACAGAATATGTAAATATTATGTTTTAAAGTATTTTATAACTTAGTGATTTTTTCAAAAAACACTTTTTTTTTCAAAAACACTACGCGTCCCCGGTCAAAAAACAGTTTTTCTTAAAAATAAAAGCAGATTCATGTTTAGCTTTTCAAGGAGATTCAGAAAATGGTATTAATAAAAAAAATTAAAAAAAAAATTTTTTTTTGGCTAAACTACACGCCCCCGGTCAAAATACAGTTTTTTTTAAAAAATAAAAACAGATTCATATTTAGCTCATTAAAAGAATACAGAATATGTAAATATTATATATTAAAGTATTTAATAACTTAGTGATTTTTTGAAAAAACACTTTTTTTCGAAAACACTACGCGTCCCCGGTCAAAAAACTGTTTTTTTTTAAATATAAAAGCAGATTCATGTTTAGCTTTTCAAGGAGATTCAGAAAATGGTATTAATAAAATAAATTTAAAAAAAAATTTTTTTCGAAAAAAATTTTTTTTGGCTAAACTACACGTCCCTACGCTACCCCGGTCAAAATACAGTTTTTTTTAAAAAATCAAAACAGATTCATATTTAGCTCATTAAAAGAATACAGAATATGTAAATATTATATTTTAAAGTATTTAATAACTTAGTGATTTTTGGAAAAAACACTTTTTTTTTCGAAAACACTACGCGTCACCGGTCAAAAAATAGTTTTTTTTAAAAATAAAAGCAGATTCATGTTTAGCTTTTCAAGGAGATTCAGAAAATGGTATTAATAAAAAAAATTTTTTTGGCTAAACTACGCGTCCCCGTTCAAAATACAGTTTTTTTAAAAAAATGAAAACAGATTCATATTTAGCTCATTAAAAGAATACAGAATATGTAAATATTATATTTTAAACTATTTTATAACTTAGTAATTTTTTTAAAAAACACTTTTTTTTCAAAAACACTACACGTCCCTGGTCAAAAAACCGTTTTTTTTTAAAAATAAAAGCAGATTCATGTTTAGCTTTTCAAGGAGATTCAGAAAATGGTATTAATAAATAAATTTTTTTTGGCTAAACTACTCGTCCCCGTTCAAAATACAGTTTTTTTAAAAAAATCAAAACAGATTCATATTTAGCTCATTAAAAGAATACAGAATATGTAAATATTATATTTTTAACTATTTTATAACTTAGTGATTTTTTTAAAAAACACTTTTTTTTTTCAAAAACACTACGCGTCCCCGGTCAAAAAACCGTTTTTTTTTTAAAATAAAAGCAGATTCATGTTTAGCTTTTCAAGGAGATTCAGAAAAAGGTATTAATAAAAAAAATTTTTTTTGGCTAAACTACGCGTCCCTACGCGTCCCCGGTCAAAATACAGTTTTTTTTAAAAAATAAAAACAGATTCATATTTAGCTCATTAAAAGAATACAGAATATGTAAATATTATATATTAAAGTATTTAATAGCTTAGTGATTTTTTGAAAAAACACTTTTTCGAAAACACTACGCGACCCCGGTCAAAAAACCGTTTTTTTTTAAAATAAAAGCAGATTCATTTTTAGCTTTTCAAGGAGATTCAGAAAATGGTATTAAAAAAAAAATTTTCGAAAATTTTTTTTTTGGCTAAACTACGCGTCCCTACGCGTCCCCGGTCAAAATACAGTTTTTTTAAAAAAATCAAAACAGATTAATATTTAGCTCATTAAACGAATACAGAATATGTAAATATTATATATTAAAGTATTTAATAACTTAGTGATTTTTGGAAAAAACACTTTTTTTTTCGAAAACACTACGCGTTCCCGGTCAAAAAACCGTTTTTTTTAAAAAATAAAAGCAGATTCATGTTTAGCTTTTCAAGGAGATTCAGAAAATGGTATTAATAAAAAAGAAAAAATAAAAGCAGATTCATGTTTAGCTTTTCAAGGAGATTCAGAAAATGGTATTAATAAAAAATTAAAAAAAAAAAATTAAAAAAAATTTTTTTTTTGGCTAAACTACGAGTCCCTACGCGTCCCCGGTCAAAATACAGTTTTTTTTAAAAAATAATAACAGATTCATATTTAGCTCATTAAAAGAATACAGAATATGTAAATATTATATTTTTAACTATTTTATAACTTAGTGATTTTTTTAAAAAACACTTTTTTTTTTCAAAAACACTACGCGTCCCCGGTCAAAAAACCGTTTTTTTTTTAAAATAAAAGCAGATTCATGTTTAGCTTTTCAAGGAGATTCAGAAAAAGGTATTAATAAAAAAAATTTTTTTTGGCTAAACTACGCGTCCCTACGCGTCCCCGGTCAAAATACAGTTTTTTTTAAAAAATAAAAACAGATTCATATTTAGCTCATTAAAAGAATACAGAATATGTAAATATTATATATTAAAGTATTTAATAACTTAGTGATTTTTTGAAAAAACACTTTTTCGAAAACACTACGCGACCCCGGTCAAAAAACCGTTTTTTTTTAAAATAAAAGCAGATTCATTTTTAGCTTTTCAAGGAGATTCAGAAAATGGTATTAAAAAAAAAATTTAAAAAAAAAAATTTTCGAAAATTTTTTTTTTGGCTAAACTACGCGTCCCTACGCGTCCCCGGTCAAAATACAGTTTTTTTAAAAAAATCAAAACAGATTAATATTTAGCTCATTAAACGAATACAGAATATGTAAATATTATATATTAAAGTATTTAATAACTTAGTGATTTTTGGAAAAAACACTTTTTTTTTCGAAAACACTACGCGTTCCCGGTCAAAAAACCGTTTTTTTTAAAAAATAAAAGCAGATTCATGTTTAGCTTTTCAAGGACATTCAGAAAATGGTATTAATAAAAAAAATTTTTTTGGCTAAACTACGCGTCCCCAGTCAAAATACAGTTTTTTTAAAAAAATCAAAACAGATTCATATTTAGCTCATTAAAAGAATTCAGAATATGTAAATATTATATTTTAAACTATTTTATAACTTAGTGATTTTTTTAAAATACACTTTTTTTTTCAAAAACACTACGCGTCCCCGGTCAAAAAAACTTTTTTTTTTTAAAAAAAAAGCAGATACATGTTAAGCTTTTCAAGGAGATTCAGAAAAAGGTATTAATAAAAAAAAAATTTTTTGGCTAAACTACGCGCCCCCGGTCAAAATATAGTTTTTTTTAAAAAATAAAAACAGATTCATATTTAGCTCATTAAAAGAATACAGAATATGTAAATATTATATATAAAAGTATTTAATAACTTAGTAATTTTTGAAAAAACACTTTTTTTCGAAAACACTACGCGTCCCCGGTCAAAAAACTGTTTTTTTTAAAATATAAAAGCAGATTCATGTTTAGCTTTTCAAGGAGATTCAGAAAATGGTATTAATAAAAAAATTTAAAAAAAAAATTTTTTCGAAAAAATTTTTTTTTGGCTAAACTACACGTCCCTACGCTACCCCGGTCAAAATACAGTTTTTTTTAAAAAATCAAAACAGATTCATATTTAGCTCATTAAAAGAATACAGAATATGTAAATATTATATATTAAAGTA